AATTTTGTTCCTTTTCTTGCTGAGTAACATTCCATTCTATATATATTGTTACTTTAAAAAGAAAATGTAGCCATCTTAGTGGATATAACATGATATATCATTGTGGTTTTGATTTCTATTTCCCCAATAGCTAATTATGTTGCGCATCTTTTTGCATGATTATTGGCCATTTATATGTCTTCTCTGGAGAAATGTCTATTCAAATCCTTTGTCTATCTTTCACTGGATTATTTGCCTTTTTATTGTTGAGTTGCAAGAGTTCTTTATATAGTCTAGATAACAAGTCCATGTCAGATATGTGATTGGAAAATATTTTCTCTCATACTGTGGGTTGTCTTTTCACTTTCTTGATGCTGTCCCTTGATGCACATAGTTTTTAATTTTATGAATCAATGTATCTAGTTTTTCCTTTGTTGCTTGTGCTTTTGTGTCATATTAAGAAACCATTATCTAACCCAATGTCAGAGAACTCTGTGAAAAGAATTTTGTTGTTTCAGCTCTTACATTTAGATCTAAGATCCCTTTTAAGTTAATTTTTGTAGCTGCTGTAAGGCAGATGTCCAAATTCATTCTTTTGCTTGTGGATATTCAGTTGTCCCAGCACTGTTTGTTGAAAAGACTATTCTTTTCCCATTGTATTGATAACCTGTTGAAAATCAATTGACCATAGATACATGAGCTTATCTGTAGACTCTTAATTCTATCCTTTTGATCTATATGTAAGTCCATATGCCACCACCATACTATGTAGACTACTATAGCTTTGTTATAAGATTTGAAATTGGAAACTGTAGTCTGAATTTTTTATTTTTTAAAAAGATTGTTTTGCAGAAACAGACTTCGACTTATAGACTTAGAGAATGAGCTTATGGTTCCTGGGGGAAAGAATGGGGGAAGGGATAGTTAGGGAGTTTGGGGTGGAGATGTACACACTGCTATATTTAAAATGGATAGCCAACAAGGACCTCCTGTATAGCACATGGAACTCTGCTAAATGTTATGCGGCAGCCTGGATGGGAGGGGAGTTTGGGGGAGAATGGATAGATGTACACATGTATGGCTGAGTCCCTTTGCTGTTCACTGTAAACCATCACATTGTTTGTTAACCGGCTATGCCCCAATACAAAATAAAAAGGCTTTTTTAAAAAAGATAATTTTGTGTTCTTGCTGCCACTGAACCACACAGTTAAATATGGTTAAATAGTATGTTTTATATTATTTGCTTTTTTCCACAATAAAAAAAATGATGAAAGATTGTTTTGGCTGAATCCCTTGCATTTCCATATAATTCATAAATTATAGGATCAACTTTTCAATTCCTTCAAAAAAGAAAGGAACAATTTTGGAATTTGACAGGAATTGTGCTGAATCTGTAGATCAATTTGGGGAGTATTGCTACCATAACAATATTAACTCTTAAATTCCAACAACACTGTGTTTCCCTTTATTTAAGCCTTAATTTCTTTGAATGATGTTTTATAATCTTGTAGTATTCATATACTACAAAGTAAGTATTGTAAAATACAATATTCCATTTTTTTTTGCTTCTAAAACTTTCAACATGTAAATATTAGATCTCCTGGATATATTTTTAATATTAAAAAAAATCTTTTCTTTCACAATTTCTGTTTCTTAATCTTTTTGCTATGCACTCTGGAAGGACTTTTTGATATGGTCTTATAATTCACTAATTCAGTTTTCAGTAGCATCTATTTTCCTATTAACTTCTTTCATAAGCTTTTCAACTTAAACATTCACCTTTTTTTTTTTTTAATTTCTGAGGATATTCTGGCTCTTAGATGCTCCACTTTCACAATTACTTGCCTTTGTCACTCTTTAAATTTCAGTTAAGAACCTGAACAGGATTTTTTAAAAAAAAGTTTTCTCCTATTTCCTGCATTAATTCCATTTTAGTGAGCGAGAGTTGCTCTAATTTGGTCCTCTTCTTTCCAATAGTGGATCCTCTTTTCATGACTAGTGGATTTGTGTGTATGTCTTTTTCCTTTTTGAGGTTTATGTATACCTCATCATGTCCAGTATACATCTGTGATCATAAAATGTGACAGAGTAAGGATTTTGTTCATATTTAAAAGTGGAGATCTAGATCATTCAGCATCAGTAACTGACATCCCATCTGGAATTAGAGAGACCACTGTTCAATTCCTTATTGTGGTCTGACCCTCTTAGGATGATGGAGGTTGGGATTAGGTAGTGAAGCCAGTGACCTGGCACTGAGTAGCCAAGTAACATCCCCTTTCCTCATGGAAGATGCTGGTTATGATGGTACACAAGATGCTGAGCCACCAAGTCTCAAACCTGAACCTAGAGAGAAAGGATCAGGGTGAGGAAGCAAAGAAATCAATTATTTGAAACTATGTCCAGAAAAGAACTTTACATGGAACTGTTGGCACATAGAACTCAATGGAAGCAAATAAATATGAAGTCTACTAAGTGTGGGCTTCCCTGGTGGCTCAGTGGTAAGAATCCACCTATGAATACAGGAGACATGGGTTCGATCCCTGGTCTGGGAAGATCCCCTGGTGTAGGAAATGGCAACCCACTCCAGTACTCTTGCCTGGGAAATTCCACGGACAGAGGAGCCTGGCGGGCTTCAGTCCATGGAGTCACAAAAGAGTTGGACACAACTTAGTGACTAAAATCAACCAACAGCCTACTAAGTGTATCAGGGAATTGTGTGGCCAAATCACAAATCCAGTTGTAAAAAACTAACTGTAAATAAGCTCTCAGGACCCCAAACTTGTACCAACAGGAAATGGGTTGTGAAAACTGAGGTCTTCAAGGAGGGCTTACTTCCCAAGGACCACTTCAGACGTGGGCATAAAGGATAATGAACAAGGAAGAGACTGTGAGCCAAGGGCCACAGAAATTAATGCAAAAGGGTATTCATTCTTGAGAGCAGAAACAGGATGTAATCATGGAATGTGCCCCATCATTCAGATGGAGGACCTTCCCAATCATCACTAAGAAGGATTCCGTCATTTCTATGGATCCTGACTGCTATGAGTCATGTGTTTCACTGAACTTGGTTCTAATGCAGTGAATCTCTGCAGAAGCATTTGGGAATCATTGTTACAGAGAAGAGGAGGGATTCACAGATGATAGGAGTTAACATTTTATAGTGAGCTCGGCACTGTGCATTGTCTTAATCTGCACGGCTACTCCCTCAGGTGCGTACTATCATGATGCTATTCTACAAAAGGGAACAGTGTCAAGGTTACATTAATAGGTGAGCCTTGGAGCCAGGTTTCAAAACCATGGGTCCAAAGGGTTCACCTTAACTCCAAAGGGTTGTAACATGTGGAATCTTTCACTGCAGCGTGTGGAATTTTTAGTTGTGGCATGCAAACTCTTCAGTGCGGCATGTGGGATCTAGTTTCCCCACCAGGGATAGAACCCCAGGCCCCCTATATTGGGAGTGTAGAGTCTTAGCCAATGGACCACCAGCGAAATCCCAATTCTGTCATATTTTATAATCACAGAAGTCTACTGGACATGAGGAGGAATACATAAACCTCAAAAAGGAGACAAGACATACACACAAATACATTCAAAGCAAGGGAGTGTTATTTAATGAAATGGATACTGAAACATTTTCAAACTTCCAGAATATAGATAGATTACCATCACTAACATTTTAACCTTGTTAGGGACTTGTTTTGTTTACTGATGAATTACCAGCTCTCACTTCGCCATCTGGCTCACAGTAGGTGCTCAATAAATATTTGTTGAAAGAATGGAGAATGAATACCAGAGTTCTGTAATACTGGTCTAAGTTCTTGAGCAACTGTGCCAAATTTACCTTCACATCTTCAGAGTTTGGTTTGATGCTCAACAAATGGTCCTTGAATTAAACTAAGAGAAAACTGCACTGTGGTTTTACATAAAGGCTGCTCAGTGTTCCCTGTTTCCTTATCTTTAAAATGGAAGGTGTTTTCCTCCTCAACTCTACCAACCCTGTGACAGACTGGGTTTTTCAAAAGATGGTTACTTGCTTTTACCTCTCATGAGCTTAGTTTTTATGCACGGAGGTGAACTTGAAATTTTAAGTTTCTACTCACTATCTTTCCCACATATATGGCCGGTTCTCAAGTTGAGTTTGTGAACTGACATTTGATTCCTGTTTGATACCTTGAGCTTTAATGCTGCTAATCAGCGGCACCTTTCTGTATTGTAGTTTTTTAAAAACAGCATTGATCTCATTCACTAAGCCTGTATTGTGTGCAAGATCTAGGACAGTGGCATTACAGACCAAGACGGAGAGAGACATGGCTCCTACCCTCATGGCAAAGAAAAGTGTTCTTATGTGTTTTAAAAGACTGGACAATGAGGATTCAATTGTAAAGCAAGGCAAAAAACATATCTACTCCTTATTCCCACATGGAACAAAACGATTTAAAAAAATGGTACTTGGGCTTGTGTTCCCAGTACAGGAGGAAGAGAAGACAAATCCAAATCACAAACAAATCGCTTACTTTTTGCAAGCCACAACTGAACTATGCCTTGAATTATTGTCTGGTGATTTCAGACTTCCAGTCAGTTCCCTCTGTATGGACCAAAAGAGAAATGGGGAGGGGGAGGGAGAAACGCATTTCGGTTCTTAAAAAAAAAAAAAAAGGGCAAGACGAGCAAACAAAACGTACTGACTTAGAGATCGTATGAGATCTGCTTTAAGCTGTCTTTAAACTGTAACTGACAATGATACCTTCTCGAGACTGATAACCAACCCGCCCGGGGCCTGGCACCGCGGTCCGTGCCCCACAGCCACCTATCTGCTGACCTACCCCGGGCTATGCCGGCCCCAAAGGCACCGCAAATAGATCAGCTTTTAGCTAGACTCTTCCATCACATCCAGCCTGGAGCGGCTTCTTCCAGTGTGGGCCATCCAGCAAAGGCGTCTGATCGCCCATCTCTGGCCACAATGATCGTTTTAAAAATAAATGAGGTCCAGCTCTAATCACAAAACCCACCAGCTGTGAAGAATGGAGCCACATCTGTCACCACGGGGCCCAAGCATCTCTGCAGAAGCCCTGCCCCCGCCGCCCCGTCGAGGCCCCGCGGTCGGTCGGAGCAGCCCTGGCGGCCCGGGAAGGCTCGGGTCTCGGGGCGAGCAGGCCGGAGGCAGCGTGCTTGTTTGGGAGGTGTCCAGGAAGATCCAGCCGGAGCTCCGGGCGGAGGGGGCTGGTGTCACTTGGGTTTTGTGCGTGTCCCGTCCCCGCCCCACCCCCCAGCTCCACTTCAAGCAAAAGGCCGAAGGGTTTCGACCCCCGATCGCCCACTTCGAGCTCACGCTTAGGGCCCTTTCGCCGCCGTCCAGCGGACAGAGAAAGCAATTCCGCAGCGAGGCGAAAGCACTCTGTGAATGAAGGTAGAATCGGCGAGAAAATAATTTTTCTTCTCGGCTGAGCCCGTCAGCCGCCCCGGGGGCGTTTGTGGGGGACAGTCCTCCTCCCGAGAAGACCCCTCACTCCCCGCAGTGGACATACACGTCCCCGCAGTGGCCACACACGTCCCCCCCCCCCCGGGAGCCATACGAGTTTGGGAATGGAGGCGCGAGGGGATTCACCCGGGGCGGGGGACCGCGCGCCCAGTCCCCACTGCCCTCCGCCAGGGGCAGGGAGGGGGGCGCCTGGAAGGGCGGTCGGCCGAGAGGCGGGGCGGAGGGGGGGGGGCCCGGGGGTCCCCGCCGCCGCCGAGGTCCGGGGAAAGCGGGAGGGGCCGCACCTGAGGAATCCGCCTCCGGCCGCGGCGGCCGCCGCCTCGCTCCGCCCCGGGGACCTGGGCGCGCGCGGCCGGCTTGCCCGGCACACACAGACGCCAGCCAGCGGCGGCGCTAGCTCCTCGGAGGAGCTCGGCTGAGCGAGCGGAGCGCGGCGCCGCCACCCGGCTGGGGGTGGGGAGACGAGCCCCGACCCAGGCGAGGGCCACCCCCGGTCCTCGCGCGCTGCCAGGGCCAGGTGAGCGGCTGCGGGAACTCGGGGCGCGGGGAGGCGGCGGGGCGCGGGGGCGGGGGTGATGAGAGGTGGCCCGCCGGGCGTGAGCGCGCGCCGCTGCCCCGCAGGCGCTGCCCTTTGGCGGGCTGTGCACACCCTGCCTGCGCGGGCCGGCGCGCGGCTGACTTTTTCCGGAGGGCTAGCCGGGCGAAGCGCGGGGCGTGAGCGCCTCTGCGTTTGTGCGGCGAGGCCGGGCGCCCGTGCGAGCCCCCAGCCTCACGAGGAGACCCAACCCGTGCGGTTCGCGCCCCAAGGCCAGAGGCCTGTCACCGCCGCCTTTGTGGCGGGAGAGAGGGAGCCCGAGCCGAGGGGCTGCGGGAGGCGGCGAGCGCCCCTCGGGAGCGTCTCCTGGAGCCCGCGGGCCGCCGAGGGGGTTCTCCCGGGCTCCGGGTGGGGGGCGGCAGGTAGGGAGGCGCGGAGGTGACGCGCGAGGATGGAGAGAGCCGAGCCCCGGGGGGAAAGTTGGGACGTCCGGCGATGGCCGGGCGTTTGCCCGGGGTGCCCGGGCGGCTCGGCACGAAATGTCACTCGGTCACGGGCGCGCGCGCGCGGGTCCTCCGGCCATCGTTTGAATTTCTCTGTGAGGGGCTGGGGACCCCTCTTGTGCTGACGGAGACACAAAGGGTTGTGTTGACAGCTGACCTGACGCGAGCGGACAGCGCGGAGCGGTGTGTGCTGGGCCGGGGATGGAGAGGGAGGCGCGGGATGCGGAGGCGGTTTGTTAAAGTTCATCAATTTCCTCAGTCCGTCTTCCGGGCTCCGGGGCAAAAGGAACGCTCGGTTCCGATGCAGTTCATGGGGCGGATCAGTCCTTCCGAGCCCACATCGGGTCCAGAGCCGGGTTCGCCCGCGGGGGCGGAGGGAACTCGGGGAAACACCTCCTCAGTCGGTTCCCTTCCTCCGGTTGCGTGACTGATGCAAGGTCCTTATCCACCACCGCGGCCCTCTGGCCCCGGTGGAGAAGACAGAAACCACGTTTTAATTTGTCCTCCCTCCACCTCGCCCGGGAGGTGGGAAATCTCACTGAAATCTCATTTTTTAAAAATAATAGCTATTTAAAGATGGGGAAGAGTTTGTCCGCAAAAGTTTTTTTTTTTTTTAATGAAATGCCCCCTTTTAGAAACCTTCCCTTCCTCTGTACATCTTTTTTTTGGGGGGAGGGGTACTTTAAATCCTGGAATTCTCTTTTGAGTTTTGGAACTGTGTTTTTTTTTTTCCCTTTCGGAATATTTCTGTGTAGTTTTACAAATTGCAATACTGAAAACTTCAGATAGAGAAAAATTTAAATAATTGTTTTATTAAAATAGTATTAGAATTACGTGCATGTAGGCATGTGTTTCAAGGGAAAGATTTAATTAGTGAATATTGCAAAGTTATATGCGTAGGATGAAAATTTCAAACACCAGTGTAAAATATGCCCTCTGTCTCAGAGACCCATACCCCTAATGCCGTAGTTCTCCCTCCACCCAGATGCAACCACTCTTCTCCATTGTATATCTTTCTATAAACCTTCTGTTAGAATGGAATTACATTGTGGAAATCGAGGATGAAAGAAACTGGATATATAAGACTGAACTGCATCTCAGTGGTGATGAATCTTAATTTGATATTCACTTATGATGTTAGACCCTTTCATTTGGCCTAAGGCACTTATCAGTTAGAAGGCTAAAAATCTTAGAACAAGCATTCAGTGCAAAGCAGAACTATTAAATGGTTATCTCTATCACCAGTTTCTTTTGGTTTTTATAAACTTTCATTTATAATCTTTGATTTTTCTTCCATTTCAGAGCTCTTTATGAAGTAGAGAATGAGAACTATAGCTGTTCTATCCAGCACAGCACATATCTGAAGACACTGAAAGGATATATGAATACTCCCACTGACACGAGATAGTATAAAAATTTCAATAGTATGAAGGCCAAGGTTAAGACATTTGGTCATATCTCTTAGTTTCAGGCTTGGATTTGCCATAAACTACCTAAATGAACTAACTTTCTAAGAAATGCTTTTGTTTCCTCCCCCAGTTAAATAAAGGAATTGAACCATGTGGCTTCTGAGCCTCATTCTAACTGCAAAATTCTGTGATTTTTGGTAAAATGGTAGTTCTGTAGGTTTCCTAAGACTGGGTAAGGATAAACCAGTTGGATCTGTGAGTATTAGTGGAGTGGCAAAAAAAAAAAAAAAAAAATCCTAAATGGTAGATTCATAAAGAAGAAGTTGAGATGTTTAAACAACATTCCTGCTTTTATGAGATTGATATCTGGAGGACAGCTACTTTATTTTCCCACAAAATGTCTGTTTATGCTACTGATAAAGGTCGAACCCTGAATAGGCCTCTGTGTATCACCTTGTATGGCTAAGGAGAGTGAATTTTCTTCACAGCTCATAGTGCTGTTTTTTAGGGAAATTACTCTTACCAGACTCTTACTTTTCTTTGTAAAGTGGAAATAAAGTTCATTGACCTACTTCAAAGGAACTTTACCTAATTTAATTAGCGATTCTCAAAAGTATTTAGAATATGAATAATCCTTATAGCCAAGCTATTTTAGTGACTTTATAAATATTCACTTAGAGATCATGTTCTTAGTAGGAAACTTTTCTAATCTCTAAGACACCTGCAACTGCAAATTCCTAGAGGGGTGCAGGGAGCCGAGGAGTGCTTTCAAAGTTATGACAGTAAAAGAGTTAGGTGAGTTTAGTCACTACATATCATCTCAGTTAAGGGTTTCAAAAGTACACTGTAAGTGGCGGTTACAGAAATCATTCTTGTTAAAGAAAGAGATCTCATACTTTGAAGATTCAGTCAACAACAAAGAATATGATATATTTAGTTTGAATATCTGTAATATAAGTACATTACAGTGAAGTTTTAAGAGTTGTTCGATTGGGGTGATAAGAATATGAACTAGAAGGTTAGATTTGTAAGGGTGCTGAGAGTAATCTTTATTGACAAAACTAACAAAAGCAAAAGAAATGAAATTCTTCTAAAATGGAATTGTTTTTGGTTTTGTCCAGCTTCCTTCCCATCCTTACCATGTGAATATGTATTTTTACAAATGTTTTATCATATTGCACATGTTTACTCTGATTTTTTATAAACATTTTTCTATAATTTACTTTCTACTGTTTATGATTAGTTTATTGTATCATAATTTACTTAGCTCTTTCTCTGTTTCATGATTTTCCAGTTTTTTAAAAAATATAATGGCTACCCTTATGAATGTGACCTTCTTCTTTAAAACAAACAAACAAACTTAGAATTGTTTCCCTAGAGAGGTAATACAGTGTAGTTCTGAATAGTTGGAGTCTAAGACAATTAAAGGTTCTGTGTCCAAAACATAGCTCCATCCCTTATGGGCAATATTGGGCAAGTAATTTATTTTCTCAGAGCTTCCTAATCTGTAAAGTAGGTGTAGAAATAGCTCTTAGTAAGGTTAAGATAAAAAAGCAGTAATACATGTAAAAAGCATTTACACATGTAAATGTTAGCTCTTTTTTAATTAGGAAATTTCCTGATTTCTTGTAATCTCTAAATTACTTTCCAGAAGGATTACATAAATTTATACTTATTTGTGTGTACTTATTTTAAACATTTATGTTATTGTGACTAATTTGATCAGTGTAAAATTGTATCCATTTGTTTTGATTTGCATTTCTTTGATTTTCTGTGAGGTGAGAGGTAATTTTTTTTTCAACTGTATTGCTACAGTTTTCTACTTGGAGAGGTGGAAATTTCATCACCTCAGCCATTCTGAACAAGACTATAAGACAGGCCAATAGGACAGGTCAGTTAGAACACTAATGAGTGAACCAAATCTTCCAATGATTTCTTTCAGATTAGTTGTAGTTTTCTTGTATTCTCAATTGATGGTGGATTTTATCCATTATTCTTAAAAATATGGCTGTTAAAATGGATAGTGTTCTCTGTCAATCCCATTTAAGTGAAAATGCAATCCTCTCTTTTTTCCCTCGAAGGACTGATTTTTATTAATTAGCATTACTGTGATCCAAATTGGTGGATTTTGGCTAGGAATGCTTCCTAAAATGGGGGGCCCGAAAAGATCAGAGAGAGAAAGTTTCCTGATCACTAATCATGTTATTTGTTGGCTACCAGTGGGTAATGAAGTTATATCCTCTGACTTGAGTTCGTATACAGTCAAGGTAATTTAGACTACACAAAAGCATGCCCTTGTTAGTTCTGGAGTTCCAGCAGCCCTGATATTTCTGGCAAACACACACCCAAAGTGGATAACAGCAGCTCTTTGTGCTCCTGGGCTCCAGGAGGGCTTCCTATTGTGTACTCCTCCTTGCCTCCCATTCTTGACTGGCTGGTGATAGCAGCTCCTCCAAGTCCAGATGTGAAGTCCCCACAGGGCCGCCTCTCTGCAGCCTGGCTCTGTTTATCCCCACCAGCCACCCCTTCAGTGCCTTTGCTTTTGTCCTCTGACATAGGGAATTCACTCTTTTCAAGGTTGTGGTTTCAGATTTTATTTTCAGTTTATCTCTGTGCTTTATGAGTGTGTGTCTTCAACAGTCCCTACAGTAGAAACTGTATTAACATAGATTAACGCTTTATCGGTGCTGGATAAATGTTTGTTGCTGTGAACCATATCTCGTATGGTCTTCTCTGTTCCTGGGCATGGTGCTGTTTTTATGATAAAAACAGAAAACAAGCTTGGGTTGTGTGCTGGATTGCTGTGTTTGCCTATACTATCAAGGTTAGGAGTTAGGGAACCTGCTTGCCTTGGCCCTTTGAACTTCTTGTGTGTTTAGAGGAGATTCTTAATTCTTGTGTCTTTCTTTTCTTCTGTAAAATGGGATGAACAATTAAAGGACTGCTCTAATTATCCACCTTCTGCACAGAATTGTTGTGAAGGTAAAATGAACTAATAAATGTGGGCATGTTTTAGAAGAAAAGGGTTATGAGTTCACACTGTGTTGTCATAATTACACATTATCACTACACATCCAGGAGTGTCCGTGTCTTTGAGGAAGCCCTATCCCAGTGTGGAGCTGTGCTGGGAGCGTGGGGTTAGATGAAGATGCTTGGGGTCCAACGCAGATCATGGGGGTGGGGCCTGTTGCTGCATTTTAACAACACTTCTAATACTGACCCACTCCCGTTGGGAGTAGTAAACGTCAATTAATCCCTAGAATAGTATTCTTCTTGTTAAATGTTAGCTGTAAGATAATCCAGAAATATAACATCATTTTTGCGTGCTGAGTAGGAAATGAAAGTTAGCTGTTATCATTCACCTTTTAACCTCTCAGAATGTGATTCAGAGCAGGAATTGTAAACTCAGGTGCCTTGGAGCAGGTAGTTTGCCTGAGTGAAGCAGGACACCTGTAAAATAATAGGGTATGCCGAGTTTTGGTGGGCAGTAAAGACTGAAGGTGGCATGATTTCTAAGGCTGCGCTGATGT